GCGAACTCACCAAAGAGAATGTTGAAAGATGCAACTCCAGCATCAAACCCTGGCAGAACTAGCAATGTCAACATCAGCTGAAGCAGGGGTCAACATTGCAGAAGATGAATCTGCACTTCAAGACTGCCAATGCACAATCAAGATGAATAAAAAGAGCATCTAGCCATCTGACATTAAATGTCAGCTCCGAAAACCAACCAAAGAAAAATATTGAACACCTGTATATGACCTGTCAGATGTTTCAACACAAACCATTTAAAAGTTTTCGCAATATAAACAATGACCGATAGTTTTGTCAAGTCCAAGATGCCATGCCTAAACTTGTCATAGAAGAAACATTTCCGACATTGTTGACTTCTCACGGTTTTATTCTTAACGGTGAAACCTTTGTGCTCGGAGGTAAACTAGTATGGTTCAATATACAGTGAGTGATCCCCGCTATATCGCGGTTCAGCTACCGCGCCCCCGCTATTTCGCGGATTTTTCCCCGACGCGTCACAGTTCTCTGCGTACCTTGCTTGTGGTCCGATTGTTTTCGTGTTTTTTAAGCCCTACGATGGCTCCCAAGCGTCCTGCATCTTCTAAGCCTTCTCGTAGTAGTGAGCCTAAGCGCCAGAGGAAGACCTTGACCATTCAGGAGAAGGTAAAACTCCTGGATATGTTTCGGGAAGAAAAGCGTTACGCTTTCTATACAGAGAGAGAGAGAGAGATGTGCATATTTATTTTTATGTTACTCATATCCTTAGCCTAACATCCACATATCATATGTGTTGTTTTAATAAGTTTACATGTGTTTAAAGCGTGTGGGAGGGGTACTTTATAAACTTTTTTTACAGTTTAAGCCATATATATATTCAGGAAAATCCGCGTGAAAATCCGCGATATAGAAAGACCACATATATATATATACATATATATATATATATCGGATTTTCACGTATAGCTGATGGGTCTGGAACACATCTTCCGCGATAGGCGGGGGTTCACTATACATCACCGTTGCTCGTCAAAATGACAAGTATTGCAAAGAAGAAATACATTTCGCCCAAGGGGACTTAGGAGTGTTTATAACGTCGCATGACGTTGTAAAGTCACCCCAAGGTCAAATATTTACAATAGTGTGACTAATGCAGACATCTGGCCGTGTAGCCCAACTACCGCGCTGAGTTTCGCAGAAACTCCGATTCTAGGGGTAAACAGATCGCGGCTACCGGCTTTAGGCGTTCCCAACCCGCTGTCTGCCAAATCGAGCAGGAAAACCAAGGGGCTCCACAGCAACTTAACTTTCTGCATCAACAAAGACAGTAACTAATTAACATTAACTTTTAATTGCTCCAAATGCGCGTAAAGTATGTGTTGCTTTTGCGTGTTAAACTTAACAAGAAAATCTAAAGCTAACGTCCCGAAACTGCGTCCTGTTGTACAACTACAAGAACTTAAACTGGATATAAATGACAGAGTACGGATAGACAATCATGTACACATCTTAAGATTATATTTATGGATTTCAGTAATCCTTTAGAAAACTACAGTTAACGTCGCCGCTGCAGCCGACGTCTATTTTCTCGGTCCTAGAATGAGGTCTCTCTGCCAAACTCCACTTTACAAGGTGTGTAGACGGCTATAAAACACCTCCTTCTTTACCACTTGGCCTGGACTAAACGGGGAGTCTGTGCATATACACTAACTGGGACCGCAATAATCCTTTGTGCAGCTACATGGCTTTCCTCTTCACCTCAGATGGCCGCATCTGCTGCGACACCCAGAATTGGACAGCGATGTGACCCAAGTACCCGAACGCACGGGCGCGCTGCCCGCGAGCACCAGCGCGCGCTAAGCAGGGCAGTAGGACTCACCGCCTCGCGCTCTCCGCCGCTCCGCAGCTCTGCATACAGAGCGCTCGCGTCTCCACTCTAGAGACGTCATCCCTTAGCCGCGCGTGCTCTATGCTCTTAAAAGGGCAACACAACGCCGCGTACAAACTCGCTGTCCATGGCTGTTAAAACACATGTCGAAGCTAAACAATGGCCCGTCCCTATATGCATCGTTTTGACTTAAATTGTGCATATTGTGCTAGTAATGATAAAAAAAGCATTTCCCAGTGACGTTGAGTTTTCGCATTACTGTTCAGGACCCTGTGTTTTGAGGGAAGACCGTGCTGCTTTAACCTCCCCCCATTAATTAATGTTCTTTTTGAATATTGATGAGTATTTGTTTCCCTTAAGAAACCGAAATCACCTGAACTTCTTCAGCAAACCACTGAGATGTCTGAGGATGCTTGCTATATGGGTAAAATTAGATGCTACAAACTCAAATACCCTAATTGTCAGTGTTTGTTACAGAGCACCCAATGTAGCTGCTGAGGAAAGCAGATTGTTATACAGTGATATTAGGATTATGAGCAATAAAAATGATGTGGTAGTTATGGGTGATTTTAATCTACCGGGGATACAGTGGGACATTGTTGCTGGCTCTTCTGAAAATGAACTTGAGATGGTGGAATTAGTACAGGATTGTTTTTTTACTCAGTTTGTTAACACCCCTACCAGGGGAGATGCCATTCTTGATCTTGTTTTGTCTAATAACCAGGACAGGATTGGTAAATTAGATGTTTTAGAACCACTTGACAGTA